TCTCTTTCTTGTGAAGATTAAACCCACAGTTTAGTTAGATCTTCAATTTTGGTTTCTTTAAAATGGAGCACGAACTTAGACACTGTGAAACAATATGAATGCAGAATCCTTTTATGTTTTTCTGTTAGCCTCCTGTTGTCTCTACATAATTTGACACACAAGCACTACATAGACAATAGTTTTATTTAGCAACTTACCAAAATATTAAATCTAGTTTTCATAGAAACATCTCCCTCCCACATACTCATAATTAATGGGATTATGTAGTATATAATCAAACTGTATAATTACTAACAGTAAAACTAGCACAACTGGAGCAGAAGTGTGTGCGAGTACTGGAGATTTTAACCTGCTATCCACTAGTGTGTAGTAAGCTGTGGGCACCTGTTACATTTAAAAAGGGGGAGTTGAGAGTCTTGGTAGTCCGGAACTGTGTTAAGTGGAGGTCTAGCAGAAGAGCTTTTGGTGTATCAGAATAGTTTGTGTCCGTATCTGATCACCCTGCCAGACTTAATATGTGATCTGAAAGCTGCTGGATACAAAAGTCCCTCAAGTTTTTTCAAAGAACCTGCAAAATCAGAACTATTTGCATAATAATACCAAGCCTTTTTACCTTTTTCACTCTGATTTTCTAAATGTTGCTCAGTTTTAATATCTAATATGGTAATATTGGTAGATAAAACCCACATAAAAAAAAGCTCTTTGATGGTCCTCAGTACTTTTTAAGAATATATGCCTGTTAGTGATTGGCTGTACTGGACTCTTGACTCCTTGATAGCAGCAACCATGTTTCATTTATCTTTGTTATTCCTGATGTGTTTTTGCATTATCTTCTACATAAAATTCACTCAGGAAATATCTGATACTTGTATGAGCAAAAAAAAGGATTATTTCAAGTATTTATGGTCTTCCAAAATGGGCCAACAAAGTATTCTCAAGTAAGGGTTCTTATATTAATGAATATGATCTATAATTAACAGTGGTGGTGTGCAAATGCTTTAAATAATAAAATGTAATATTTTATACCTTTCCCCTGAAATCTTAAACAATGTCATGAGGAATAAAAGAAGCATGGTTTAGTGGAAAGAATATGAAAACTTATTCCTGTGAGGCTTTAAAAGGTGTGTGAAGACTTTAAATTTTGCTTAGTGACTGTATCATAAATATATTGGCTTTTTAAAATTCATTTAAGAGGAGAAGGGAGAAGAAGGACAAGTGAACGGAGATGTGACATTATTTAAGAGCCGTCAGTTGGTGGAAAGACTTTTCCTTTCACTTGAGAAGCATTTAAAAGCTATTTTAGGTTTTAAAAAGCTGTTTTTAGTTTTCAAAATGGGATATGATGGTCAGAACACCAGGGTTTGGAAAGTGAATTTTATTGTTTTGTACGAGTGACCGTGATTGAAGAATAACGATCAGGTGGTGGCCATGTTGAAATGGGCCAAGTGCTTTGGACTCATCCATTCAAGTGTTATACAAAGAATGCTGACAACAGAAACCTTTAACTGAAAGTTAAATTACCCAGTTCACGTGGAGTAGGTACAACTAAATAAGCAAAGAAAACTCACAAGTGATATCAAAAGGTACCTCTCTTGCTATTCAATGTTAATAAACACATAGATACGTTGTGTAAGTTTAATGTTTTCAGGGACCGTATTCTAGTTGTATTTTGTTTTTAAAAAAGGATTAATATATGTTTTAATAGTGGACTTTTCTCATGCATTTACAATAATTTATATAGTACATTTAAATTTCTCCAAATCTTGCTATTGAGACAGTTGTTTGGATGGAACTTTTGCCTTCATTGAGACGCAAACTTGAATATAAGATTTGATTTTGTTTTAAGAAAATTGGAATTCTAATTTTAATCTTCTCAAATTCATTGATAGGAAATTATTTTTAGATGTTTAAATTTAAAGAAAATAATTAGGGACTTATTAGTTTCTTCCTGAGGTATTTTGATATAAGGTAGGCATGCTTCTCATTATTACTCTTTCTGTCATCCAACAGTTCTTGAGGGTTGTTGCATACGTTGCACTGAGGGTCCCTTGAACCATTCAATTACATAGTGTGTTCACAATGACTATATAAGGGCTACAATAGCAAGTCCCTTAGATTTTAAAGACAATAATTAAGAAAGCTCACCCAATGGAAGATTTTCTAGAATAAACTGTGTTGGCGTTGTTCTGTGTGCACTCTACAATTTGGTCAACTTATCTCTCTTCTCCAGTGAACTGCATGCTTCTTAAAAGACAGTACTGTATCTTAATTGTCTTTGATTCCACAATGCCTAGATGGTGCCCTTCACATAGTAGGCATTTAGTTAATGTTGGAGGAATGCATGAAGTCATTTGCCCTGGAAGATGAAACATAAATGCATTGCTGATGAGCCAAAGTATTTCCTGACTCTTCTCAAAACCTTGGTGAATTCTGACAGAAATATGACTGAGCCATAGCTATTCCTAACTATAGTCATGTATTTCCAGAGTGTACTAAAGTTGACACCATTAAAGAACAGTCATATGTATTATCAAATAAGATAAGGTCTGTTAACTGAAAGTAGGTTCTAACTTTTGTTTTCTTTTTATGTTTCTCTTCAGTTTTGAATCGGGGTCATGAAAAAATTATTTCTTTTTTATTTGCTCTGGGTTTTCTTTCTTTTTAATAAAGTGTATTTTATTAATTATGCTATTACAGTAGTCCCTTTTTTTCCCACTTTATCCCCCTTGCCCTGTACCCTCATTCCCAGCATTCCCCCATCTTAGTTCATGTCCATGAGTCATACATGTAAGTACTTTGGCTTTTCCATTTCCTATATTACCTCCCCCTGTCTATTTTGTGCCTACCAATTATGCTCCTTAATCCCTGTGCCTTCTTACCCCCATTCTTCCCTCCCTGTGCTGATAACCCTCCATGTGATCTCCATTTCTGTGATGCTGTTCCTGTTGTAGTTATTTGCTTAGTTTGTTTTTGTTTTGTTTTTTAGGTTCAGTTGTTGCTCACTGTGAGTTTGTTGTCATCTTACTGTTCATAATTTTGATCTTCTTTTTCTTAGATAAGAAAATAACATTTAACATTTCATACAGTAAGGGGCTTGGTGATGATGAACCCTTTTAACTTGACCTTATCTGGGAAGCACTTTATCCGTCCTTCCTTTCTAAATGATACCTTTGCTGGGTAGAGTAATCTTGGATGTAGGTCCTTTTTTCTCCATCACTTTGAGTTCTGCTTTCCAGCCCCTTCTTGCCTTTAAGGTTTCTTTTGAGAAATCAGCTGATAGTCTTATGGGAACTCCTTTGTAGATAACTGTCTCCTTTTCTCTTGCTGCGTTTCAGATTCTCTCCTTACCTTTAATCTTGGGTAACTTAATTATGATATATCCCTGTGTGCTCCTCTTTGGGTCCAACTTATTTGGGACGCTGAGCTTCCTGGACTTGTATGTATATTTCCTTCACCACATTGGGGGAGTTTTCTTTTATTTTTTCAAATAGGTTTTCAATTTCTTGGCCTCCCTCTTCTCCTTTTGGCACCCCTGTGATTTAGGTGTTGGACGTTTAAAATTGTCCCAGCGATTCCTGAGCCTCTCCTCATTTTTTTGAATTCTTGTTTCTTAGTTCTATTCTCGTTTAATGTTTATTTCTCCCTTGTGTTTCAAATCATTGATTTGAGCCCCAGTTTCCTTCCCTTCGCTGTTGGTTCCCTGTTTATTTTTCTTTATTTCACCATGTATAGTCTTCACTTCTTCCTTGGTTTTGCATCTGGACTCAATCATTTCTGTGAGTATCCTGATTGCCAGTGTTTTGAACTCTGTATCCAGTAGGTTGGCTATCTCTTCTTTGCCTAGTTCTTTTTCTGGAATTTTGATCTGTTCTTTTACTTGGGCCATATTTCTTTGTCTCAGTATACCAGTCTGGGTTAATGTTTCTTCTTTAACTCTTTGGTTGTCGGACTTCCACACAGTTTGACTTTCTTACAGTTCTGGTGGTTTTTTTGTTTTTCAGTTGGTTTTTTCCTTCTTTTGGTTGTGCGAGGAGGCGAAGCATATCTACCAATGCCTCCATCTTGGCTGGAACTCTGAAAATTATTTCTGATCGTAGGGAGAATTGTCCATCTGTTTGGGCAATTATTCATAGCAGTTAAAGCTCTTGTTTGAATACACCCTAATTAATTATTCTGCAGGAAAGAAAAGTCAAAGCAACTGACAGGCAGAACTGGTACACAGAGTAACCTAGACACTGGACCTGCCTGGTTTCACAATATTTTCTAGGCTGGCTCTTCTAGTCACAGTGTATTCTAGAATTTTATTTGCAGATATAGGTGTGTATACTCGTGCATGTATATATTCAATTTTTTTATTTGATTTTATGCTATTTTAAGCCACCCTCTTTAGAAAGAGCTAAGTGTATAACAATTATTACTGGCAAGGGACTGCAGCAGCCCAGTAAACAGACCTGACAGAAGCTCGGTTTTCTTGCTAGCCAAGAATAAGGTTTTTCTCTATTCTGACCACTGATTATACTATAAACTTAGAAATAGTTCTTTTGAAAAAATAAAATAGAAACTGACTCATAGATACAGAGAACAGACTGACAATTGACAGAGGGAACATGAATCAGGGGACTGGGTGAAAAAAAGTGAAAGGATTAAGAAATACAAACTGGTTGTTACAGAATAGTCACAGAGATGTAAATTACAGCATAAGGAATATAATCAATACTATCATAGTAACGTATGTATGGGGCCAGGTGGGTACTTGAATTATCAGGGGGCCAATCTATAAAGTATGATTGTCTAACCACTATGATCTACATCTGAGACTAATACAGAATAATATTTAATGTAAACTGTAACTGTAAAAAATATTCCTTTTGTTCCTTTGATTTTTATTAATTAAAAAAATTGTGATCATTATTACTGTGGTTAATGTGTAAGCATACAATCTTGAAAATGATAAATGTCAACTCTGAATACATTTGTGAATTTTTTTCTTTCCATTCAAGATAAGCTTTCATTGGAAGGAATAGTGGTACAAAGAGCTGAATGCCGACCTGCTGCAAGTGAAAACTACATGAGGTTAAAAAGGTTGGTGTTTTTTAACTTTAAAATAATTCCTGATATTTCTTTTTGGAGATTGAAATACATATATTAGACTGCCTGTTGACTGCAACTGTGGTTATTGTTGAAAGTGTTTTCTTCAAAGGCTCTTTGGTTTTAAAACCAAGTAAGAACAAACTTCCAGTTATAAAACTTTAAATAAGTCATAGAGATGTAGTGTATAGCAGGGTGACTGTAGTTATAATACTACTTTATTGCATACTTGAATGTTGCTAAGAAAGTAAATCTTAAAAATTCTCTTGAGAAAAAAATTTTTTGTAACTCTGTATGGTGACTAATGTTAATTACATTTAGTGTGGTGATCATTTTGCAGTGTATATGATTATTAAATAAATCATGTCATATACCTAAAAATACAATGTTGTATGTCAATTGTACTTCAATTTTTAAAAAGCCCAAGTAAGAGTTTCTTAGACAAGGGAACTTTTAGAACCTGGGCTGTTTATTTTGGGTATTTTAGTGTAGTGTGTTAAAATAACCTGGAATCAAACTTTTTAAAACTACTTTTTCTAGTTGTCCTAATAAATCTTTGAAATTTTTTTTTTTAGTTCTCACCCAACAATATGTTTATTGATTTTAGAGAGAAAAAAAGAAACATCAGTTGGTTGCCTCCCATATGTACCCCAACCAGGGATCCAACGTATGGTGTATCCGGTGACGCTCCAACCAACTGAGCCACCTGCTAGGGCATCCTTGTAAATCTTGATTCTCTAAAGATGTGTAGTAAAATCTTTGTATTATTTTATTTTCAAAGGTTATAATCTTCCCATAATGAATATCTAAAATACAACACTGGATAAAGCAAGTATATTATTAGAATACTTTCCTTTTCTCTTGCTCTACAGAGAATTTTTTTATAAACAATACTTTGAGATTTTGCTTCAGGGTCTGACCTTCCCTACTTTTGTACAGGGCTAATGTTTTATAATTAATATTTAAAGATGGTGATTGCAGCCCTGGCTGGTGTGGCTCAATGGATTGAGTGCCGGGCTGCAAACACAGAGGTTTCTGGTTCAATTCCCAGTCAGGGCACATGCCTGGGTTGTGGGCCAGGTCCCCAGTTGAGGGCATGCGAGAGGCAGCCGATCTATGTATCTCTCACTCATCCATGTTTCTCTCCCTCTCTTTCTCCCTCCCTTCCCCTCTCTCTAAAAATAAATAAATAAAATCTTTTAAAAATAAAGACGATTTCAAATTCTTCATACTCTGAATTTTACAACTTTCAAAGAGTCAGCAGTTTTTAAACCCTAAAGAAATGTCTTACACTTATTTTATAGTTTATATTGACTGTCTTTTAACCCCACGTATTTCAGAATTATGAATATGTTTGTTTCAGCACTTACTAGGTGAAACAAAACAAAAATCTCTGGCCTCCTGGAGCTTTCGCTTCAGCAGATTGTAGCTACACCGAACTGGTAGCTGAGAGCCCGTTTTAAGTGGTTGCGGCAGCCTCCTTAGATTCCAGTGTTCTCACTTGCAAAAGAGGCTGGTTGACTGCACATCATCTTTTTAATTTTTCTCCTTTTCTCAATTAAATTAAAGTTTGTCTCTTGGGAATGAAACAAAGAGACTGGTTTTCTTGTCCAGTAATTCCTCTCATTTAAATGCCTCCCCAGGGCAAGTAAAAGTATGACAATCAAAGTGGAAGAAAAATTTTTATAGTAGAAAATAGCTTTAGAACTTAGGAAGAAGATATTTCTCTCTTTGTTTTTATCCTATAAAGTTTATCATGTAATACAAGTCTTTTTGAAGATTTGTCTTCAAATAACTACTGAAATAGGAAAATGCAAAATCTGGTCTTGGAACTGCTTGCCAAGATTTTTTTCTCTGATCTTAATTTTCTTTAAAGGTTTGTGAAGATTTTGACCATGAGCAGGCAAGTCACCTGTGCTTATGAAATGGCTGCTTTTTTTCTTAACAAAAAAGAAATTAAAATTGTTTAGCCTTTGGAGTATGCTGAAAGACCAGCCATTATATATTTAAGTTACTTAGTGACTTAAGAAAATGGTGATCCAGGATATAATAATCATCTGAGTTTCATAAAATAGATGATAATCATCTGAGTTTCATGAAACAAATGATACCTAACATAAGTCTTGAAGACTGAGAGTTTTTGACCAAGTGAAAAAAAGACAGGAGTAAGAATACTCTAGTTAAATAAAGAAACATGCCGGCACAGAGACTTGGGGAACACATTAGAAACCTGTGTATAGTTCTGCAAGCTTGGAATGCAATATTTATTTGAGGCAGAACAAAAGCTCCAGCCCATACATCTTTTCTTTGAACTCCAAACTTAAATATCTGAACACCTGGTTCATTTCAGATATGTTAAAAACTGAACTCCCAGTCTTTCTCCCAACACCACCTCCACCAGCTTTCTCATTGAGTTCATGCCATATCTGTCCTCCCATTTCTTCAGTTCAAAAACCTTGAATACATTCCTGATTCCTCTCTCACACCCTGTATCCTGTATGTCAGAAAAATCTGATTAACTGTGCCTTTAAAATATCACACATCTACAGTCTGACCATTTCTCATCACCCACATGATCTGTCATTATTTCTCACCTGGATCACTGCAATAACCTTCTAATAGCAGAGTTCCTGCTTCCACCCTTGCTGTACTGTAATCTGTTGTCAGCACAGTAGCCAGAGCAGTTTTTTAAAAATCTGTCAAGTCATGCCATTTCTCTGCTCACATGTCAGTTGACATGATTGCGGTATTACTCAGAATAAAATTCAAGTCCTTAAAATTGTCAGCAGGGTCCTACCTAATCATCCTACCATTTCCTCCCCTTTTTCCCCATCCTCAACTCCTTCCCTCCCTTTTTCCTCTGCTCCAGCCACATGGATCTCCTAATAGTCCATGAGCACTGTAGACACACTTCTGTATCAGGGCCTTCGTACTAGGCGTGCTTTTCTGCCTGCAACATGCTTTCTCCAGATAACTACATGGCTTACCTCCTTGCCTCTTTCAAGTATCTCTCAGATTATACTTTAATAAGGCCCATCCTAACCATCCTGCTTCCTTCCATACTTGTATTTTCTTCATAACGCATAACACTTAATGTACTATATAATTTATATTTATTGCCGTATTTGCTGTAGTGAAGTTTAAGCTCCCCTGGTTTTTGGTTGGGTTGCGGGGGGAGGGGGGGTGTGCGCGCGCGCACGCACTTATTTCGTTCACTCACTCACACACAAGCTAAGAGGCTGATGTAATAATCCAGATACAAAATGTCTGAATGATCAAACAGGCTGATTCTGTAGTAGAAGAAACATGAGAGACAAGGTTTTGAGGATATTTGGAGAGTCTTTTGAACTTGATGACTTCATCTCAAACTTAACTGGTTGTGAGACAAAAGTACCTTCTCTATGGTCACACAGATGGTGGTAGCTCTTGGGTTGTAGCCTGGGTATGCTTCCTGCGGTGAATCCCCAGATTGGCTCCATACCATTCTGAGTATTGCACAAGACCATTTTTACTGACAAATGGATAGGGACATTCTTTTCGTTCCCCTTTCCATTTTACTTTAAATCCTGGTTGACAATTTACATAAAAATTTTAAAAAGAAATTACTTACACTGCAAAAAAAGTATGAGTGGGTAAATTCTTGCTCCAGATAATTACATCTTTGACCCTGAAGATGCGCGTGCGCGCACACACACAGGAATATCTAAAAATATCTATTTACTGACAGTATAGCGAAGCGGGTGGGAGGGGATAGAAACGTGGTAGCATGCCCTGACTGGTGTGACTCGGTTGGGCATCATCCTGCAAAGCGGAAAGTTGCTGGTTGGATTCCTGGTCAGGGCACATGCCCGAGAAACAGGTCTGTTTCCTGGTAAGGGCACGTACAAAAGGCAACTAACTGATTGATGTCTCTCTCACATTGATATTTCTCTTTCTCCCTCTCTCTCTCTAAAAATAAATAAAATCTTAAAGAAGGAAGAAACTAATGAATGAACACGGTCGCAGATTTCCAGGTATATATGTGGCATCAAAATAGAAGTGTTTGAGAACATAATTGACAGTTCAGTACTTAAGATAACCTATATCTAGATATTTCACACATGTGCTCAAAGTTTTTCAGAGTCTTCCTTCTGACTGCCTACACCTAATGACATTCAAATTTTTTGATAATCAGGCTCTTGTCTCACTTTCTGGCTTAATTTTCAGGTATTCTCCTTTACATAGACACCAGATAACTGTATCACACAAGAAGTTGTTATCCCAGAAGTGCTAGGCACTTTTATGCCTTTTTGATGTGCTACATGCTCTACCTACAGTGCTTTATCTCCCTTCTGCCAAGATTCTTCTGAGCCTTTAAAACCAACCCAGTTTTCACTTACTCGGGGAAACCTTATAGCTTCTACTCCCTACTTCAATTAGGATCTGCCATCCTCCATTTCTACATTTCATGTATTTACTTATTCTTCTTTAATGATTTCTATAAAAATGTATGTTTTCTACCCTTTAACTGTACATAGTTGCATTTTCTACAAGGTTATGAACTTCATAAAAAATAAGGACTGTGAGTTCTATTTTTCTTCCTTTTTTTCTTTGCACTCTTCCTCCCTCTTTTTATATTCTGTACACTTAGCAAAGTGTAAGACAAGTATGAAATACTCAAAAGTATTTTTTGAGTTGAAATGGACTGAAATAAAAAGGAATGCCAAAAGGTATTCCTCTAGGTACGGAAACATAAGAATCAACAGCATTCAGCTTTTTTAATTTTCTTACTCAGAACTGCATTTGAAACCTGGAGCTGATTTTTCAGTTCATTTACACAGGTATATATATATAGCACATGCATGCACACGTGCACACACATTGCTTTGAGAATGGGGAAATGATTATAAAACAAGTATAGAAATATTTTATCAACAATTAAGAAGTTTTTCAAAATATAAAAAGAATAGTCTTCCATTTACAGAGGGCCAGGGGAAAAGTCTTTACCAAAGAAG